GATCAAATTTGGTTACTCAGGATGGGCTTGGATGCAGGTAGTGGACTATTTTGTGTTTAATTAATCAGAATTTTACCGTATTATTGTTTAAGGGTTGGATATTTGGTTGGATTTCTGAATGTAACTCTGCTACGCATAATTTATATTCATTTTCCTATCGTCGTGTAGTTGGCTGGATTTTGAAATGGACGAATGGAAGGCAAAATTGTCTGATGTGGAGCAATGGAAGGCCAAATTGTCCGATGTGTTCGAACAGGGTAAGAGTTTAGTGCAGGAAGGTCTTATCCAAACACAGGAAAGTCTTATCCAAGCGAAGAAGAAGTTTGATGAGACACCAGACATAAAGCAGAAGATTAAAGAGACACCGGAACTTCAACTGTATATTGCGGCTGCTGTTGTTGTCCTAACAATATTTTTGTCATTGCTATGTAAGTTCTCAACCCAAAATATGTATACTGTTTTATTATGTATTTAGATTGTTTTACTTCTGGATCTTAAAATATATAACAACTAAGTGATTGGAAGGACAATTGTATGATATGATTTGACAATTTGAGTTCTTCCATATCTTCTAGTTGGTGTATTGTAGGCGTGTAGTTGTAAGCTAGCAAGCTGTAATTTTTCATGTAAAACAATCTTTCCAAGGAATTTCATAGGATTAGGTAGAAGGATGATCGCTAGATGCTATAACACCTTTTATTCAATTTAGAGGCTGTATAGTGCATCTCTTATCTATGAATATTACTTTGAGTTTGGATTTGGACCTACTTGATGATCGCACTGCAATAGTGGCATGTGTTGCTTCTAATGGACCTACATGATGGTGTGAATCTTGCTTGCCTGACTAGATTGCTGTAAAGTTTGCTAATTTCAGCTTTGGATTTTTGATGATGGCTTGATCTTGTATGGTTGTACCTATAGCTCTAATGTGATGCCACAGATACACCAGGGGAGTCTTGAGGCATATAATCATCACAAATCATTGCGGTGCTGTTATGATGAACTAAGGAGTGTTGCCCTCTTTCTTTCACTGAAAATGATAGGCTGGTGTGGGGGGGAGGAGGGTTCTTGGGATTACTGGTTGAGGGGCATGCAAATCAGTAATTTTTGAGAGTATGCTGCTGTGTCAGAACTCGAACTACGGTGACGTATATTTGAGAAAGGTCTTACTGTGAAAATTTGTTTCCCTGCTCCTTTAGAGATGTGGGAGATTGTAGCCAGCTTGGTGCATGGAATTCAATTCTTAGTTTTTGCAAGATACACCTTGCTCCAATTTTCCTCCCTTTGTTTCCATTGCAGAACAGAAAAAGTTCAGACTATGGACAATAGTAAATATGTGGTTTTGCATCTCGTGATAATTCCCCCCCTCCCCCCAAGTCCCCAATCCAAAGTTTTTTAAGTGTATACGTCAGTGAAAAGTAAAGTGGTGGGAAGATCTTTCTTTCTTTTGTGATATCTGAACTTCAAAGGCTTGATAAAAAAAAAGGTGATCCCTATTCAAAGACCTAGGAGGCCAAGGTTGCGAATGTCTCTTATTATTCTAGAATATGCTTTATTCTCCTATCTCTAATAAATACAAAGTAATTAAGAAGTTGTTCTTTGAAAGTTTCCTTCTGATAATACATATATTAATGGGGATTTGTACATGCTCTCAGCCCTATGTGATTTCTTTTCTGGGAGGCTTAAGTGCAACTTTGAAAATGCCTGCATATGCAGACTAATGAAGGCATGCAATATTGTCATTTTCATACCCCTTGTTAGTGAAGGATTTTTATACATAGATGAACTTTAGGATTACCTCCATTTTCATTTTCATTTAACTTTGATACAACTGTTTTCTTATGTGAACTTTTGAACAGTGTCCCTCTGTTTTGCACACCTCTCCTGTGCTGAGGGAAGAGTGAAAATCCTTGAAGTTACTCTTTAATATTACTCCGTAGTGCTCATGTAATTCTACGATCTGTGTCGCTTGAAAGGTTTTTGATCTGGACTTTATTGTTTGTTGCAGTCATAGCGTCTATCTATTTTTCTACTCTCAATTTATGTGTGGGAAAAAAGAAATGATGGATGTTAATCTCCATTTTTTTTGTTTATGTCAGTACGTCTATTCAAGCGTAAGAAGCCTAACACTATTGTGCTTGCTGGACTGACTGGGAGTGGCAAAACTGTTCTTTTCTACCAGGTGAGAAATCCTCTTGTTGCTATCATCATTGAAGCTGGCAGTAGGCCTCTTTTCACTCTAGTTTCTTTGCCCATTATGCTGGACACCATTCTATTTGACTTGCTGCCTCATTGTTCGTCAAGTTATTCTCAATGCTTATGTGAATGACGATATTGTCTTCTCTTGTTTGCCAGCTTCGAGATGGTTCTTCACATCAAGGGACTGTGACATCAATGGACCCAAATGAGGGTACTTTTGTGCTGCATTCTGAGGTCACTAAGGTACCATAATACTATGATGATTTGATTTTCACATTAAACAGAAGGATGCTGTTTTCCTTGGATTCACTTGAAGTTCCTGTTATATATATAATTGTTCCAGTGTCAAGGTTCTATAGCTTTTTATGCAACTGATCTTGTTTTTATATTTTCAGGCAAATATTTTTTAATGATGTAGTTTAAAATCAATTTGTTTAATAATTTTTGAGGTTAAGTTTTATCTTTACACAAATACACAATTACACTTGTATCCTCTTTGCCTTGTCATATAATATGGTCATGACTCTAGATGAGATTTGGATAGGAGGTGAGATAATGTGCTACATGTGTGCTGAAAGAGTTATATGAGACGACCCCTTTGCTTGCAAGGCTTGAATTAGATTTCTATATTGCTCGGCAGTTTATATACATGTCTCACGTTTTGAATTATTGCAAGTTTATACTGGCTTAGAATAAAACCATTAGAGTTTTATGGTATTTGTCATTTGAACACATGGTTGTGGAGATGTCAGCTACAGTCTTTGCCTCTTTGGGGCTATTCTGTGAGTTTGTAATCCCTTGCTATTATAGACATATGTTTCTTACCTGAGTAGGTAGTGGAAAGAAGGGTAAGCATTGGGCTTACATGTTGCTATAATGACAATGTTAAAGTACTTTTATATTGTTCTTCAAAGTTATTAATCTGTGCTATTTGTTCTGCTACACTGCCAACCTCAATTTTTTGTTTATCCAAGAAAAGGCTTGTGAGTGAAAAGTGTGATTAAATATTCTTTTCTATTTCTTGTATGGACAGAAGGGCAAAATCAAACCGGTGCATTTAGTTGATGTTCCTGGGCACTCACGGCTTCGGCCTAAGCTTGATGAGTTTGTGCCCCAGGCTGCTGGGGTTGTTTTTGTTGTTGATTCTTTGGAATTCCTGCCTAACTGTCGAGCAGCTGCTGAGTAATTGCTTTTATACTCCATTCTCTTTGCTTACCATTCCTTTCTCTTTTGAAATGATTTCTGAATTTTGACTTCTGTTTTGTTTTTAGGTACTTGTATGATATCTTAACCAAGGCTAGTGTTGTAAAGAAGAGAATTCCTGTATTGATTGTTTGCAACAAAACTGAGAAAGTGACTGCACATTCGAAAGATTTTATTCGCAAGCAACTGGAGAAAGAAATGTGAGTTCATTTTTTTTTGTCTTATGTTGCAAAATCTAATCTTTCCCCCATTCCCTCTAGACAGCAATAGGATGAATTTATTCAAAAGGTACTAAATAGATGGCTAATTACTTTGTAGAATTACGTCTACCAATCGTCCTTTGAGCCATGCCGCTCTTTAACATGTTTGCTATGAATTTAAAAATGCTGTCTCAAAATCTAACTTGTTATTGCTTCATGATGCTTCTACTCAAGTCACCCTGAAATCATTTATTGTTTTTACTGTTTAAATGTTTAATTCCTCCCCCCCCCCCCCCCCCTAGATTGAACCATTCCATCACTTAATTTGAAAGTAGAAATTCTCTTAGTGTTGTATTTGGCCACCTCTCCTTGTCTTTTCCTGAAGTCTAGAGGGTATCCTACTATCCTCAAGTGTTTGTATTCTGTCTTTGTTGCCTTCAGAAAAAGATAAGCATTGGATACTTAAAATTAATCATGCTTTCTCTAACTCTCAGTGACAAATTGCGTACTTCAAGAACGGTGATATCAGATGCCGATATTACAAGTGAATTCACTCTTGGAGAATCTGGGCAACCATTTGCGTTCACTCAGTGCCATAATAAAGTAACCCTTGCTGAAGCCTCAGGTCTCACAGGTGATATCTCACAGGTTGAGGAGTTCATCAGAGAGCATGTAAAACCTTGATTACTTTTTTTTTTTTTTTTTTTTTTTTATTGAAGATATACTTTTTCATCGCTTTTTCTTAATTTAGGGGTTACCATCTTTTGGCAAGTAAATTGTGTAGAACTTGGGAAAGACAACCCTGAGCATTAAAAATCTTTTGATTATGAATTTGTGTAGAACTTTTGAAAGATGAAACCCAGAGCTATTACATCAGAAGAATGTAGGAACTTCAATTGTCTCATTTGTTTCATTTTTTTTTTTTTTTTTCCTGCTCTTCTTCTCAAACTTTTAGGTTTTCGAGTCAGAGAGCTGCTGCTTCCAAGCAGTAATGTTGGATCTACTATTCTACTGCGGTTGCTTGTTAACATGCTTCAGTTGTTCTGAGCATATAACTTCGAGACTTTGTCATTGCATCTGCAGTTTGCATTTTATTCATTTTGTTTCATGATTTGCTATTTAAATTTCATTTTAAAATATATTTTTCCTGACTAACCACTCTGGAAAAACAATAAGCGAACATGGACTCTGAAGTTGAATTATATGTTTCGATGTAGCCAGTTGCACTGCGCTAAACTTTTTAATTCATACGGAGTATATTTGAATCAGCAGAGCTAAATACTACCTCCATTAATGGTTATTTGCGACTTTGGAGTATTATTTGTAAGATATAAAATATTTCAAAGTTACAAATAACCATTAAAGGAGGTAGTAAACAAATAATAGTGACACATCAAAAGCCTAAGAAATTATGTACAGTTTGAAACCCAAAATGTGCCAATGCTTTCAAAGCTACAAATACATTCAGAATATGATGTGTCACTTGAAGGGTTTTTTTTTTTTTTTTTTTTTGGGACAAAGGGAACAAAAAAACAACAAACTAAAACATAAAATAAAGTAACTCCCTAAGCCTGGCAGCTCCGGCCAACAAATGAGCATCATCAACCATAGACCTTGACACCTTACGAACATGTGAAGTCTGAAAGGAGGACAAAATCCCCCGGATATCCTGAACCAACCAAATAATCGAAATGTCTGCAGAAACCTGACCCGTAAGAAGCCGAGGAATAATGGAACAATCAGTAAACGAAACGATACTCAAGAAATTTCGCTGAAGGGCCTGCCTAAGACCCCAAAGACACGCAAGCAATTCAGAATGAAGTGCCGAAGAAGCCATACCAGCCCTAGCACCACCCCAGCACCACCCCCCAAAATCTGAAAGGAGTGAGAATCCACAAAACACCATCCTGCACCGGCATTACAAGAAACTTCATCCCAAACACTAGGGATGGCAACGGGTCGGATCTGGACCGGGTCTGGATGGACCCGGATCCAGATCCGTTTTCCAACCTTAGATCCAGATCCGTCCCGGATCCGTCGGGTCTGGATAATGAAGACCCAGATTCATATCCGACGGATCCAACGGATCCGGGTCTGGATTCGGGTCCAAAACGGGTCCTGCACATTTTGCCTACTTTTTTTAAACAAATGTAAAGAAATACGCATTTCAACCGAGTTCAATACGTAAATTACGTAAATTAGAGTTATACAGCTAAAAATACCAAGTAAAACACATTTTGTCTTTGTAAAAATAAAATTCCAAACATTAAAAAAAAAAAGTACGATGTTAACCCACAAAATCAACCCAAACAAAGATAAGAAAGAGAACATCACAAATTAACCCACAAAATAACTTGTAAGAAACATCAAAAACAAATGAACTACTACTATCTTACTTTAAAAACAAAAAAAAAAAAAAACAAAAGATGAAAACTAGACAAAGGACCATAAGACTTATTGATGATCTGAACGAAGTCATGAACTCACCAGCCTGCTTCTTTGCTTTCAACTCCGTATGTTTCATAGATCTGCTTCAGGAGAACGTTTGCCGCCGCCATTGGAGGTCGCGCGCCGATTTGACAGGGAGTACGGGGTGAAGAGGTGGAGGATGGAAACTAGAGAGAGAAAGTTAGGGTTTGTAAAATTGTATGAATCTCTTTGGTTGGACGGAAAGTTGTGAGTTTGTGAGTATTGTGACCATTACTAATTTCAGCTTTTTTTTTTCCAATATATATATATATATATATATATATATATATATATATATATATATATATATATATATATATATATATATATATATATATATATATATATATATATTGTAAAACGGATCCACGGATCCGGGTCCGGGTCCAAGGGTTAGACCCAAACCCAGATCCGCTTTTTTCAGCAAGACCCGGATCCGACCCGGATCCGTCGGGTCCAAAATTTGAGGACCCAGATCCGTAAAAAACGGATCTGGATCCACGGATCCGGGTCGGGTTCAGATCCACTGCCATCCCTACCAAGCACCATCAAAAAGCATAATAACATCATGAGGAAGGAGCATAATAACATCCGTTGTATTGATGCTTTAAGCATGAGGAAGGAGCTATATAAGTGTCTATGTACAGAAGGAATAAATTGTATGTTGGTGCCTTTGTGCACTTAAGGTGTTTTTAACATCGAGGGATAGGATTTTTGGCGCATTATGCGTTTAAGGTGTCTTTGACACTGAGGTAGAATTAAAAAGGGTTCAACATTAAATAATATGTGGTAACTAATTATTCAAGAATTAAATTGGTATGTTTGGTCGATTGAATAATTATTGTTGATTGATTTATTATGCTTTGAGAGTCATCACCAAGTCCAATAACATGTAAATAACGTAATGTGAAAGAGATTACGCACCAAAACTCTTGGAACGTATAGACCTTGAGTATGAACAATGGGGGGAGTTATGGGGTTTTATATTTAACCATAACTTCTAATGGAGTACAGGACGCTGTACATTCCTTTTTATTTATTATTATGCGCAGGAATTCCGCCACCTTTGAGTGGTTTTGTCGCTGGCACGGTTAGCTCTCGTGTCAGTTAACCTCAAATTTATTTGGGGGAGGTTAGGAGGTGGAAACCCGTTCGATGCGTAATCAACGCAAAATGAATTAATTAGTGTCTAGTCATTGTGTCTTGTTGATTGGTGTGTATGCTTGTGAACAGGTGCAATGAGGTAAGTGTGTGTTGATAGGTGAAAGCATGTTAGTGTGGCTAATTTACGCTTATGTACTCAGCTTTGCTGATTGTGTGTGTTTGTGTATTTGGCCATGTCTTTACCTTGGCCCTATGATGACCCATTTCTAATGGAGATTAGTGGAAACAAGTAGAGATAAACTTTTCAGGTATTGAAGCATGATCATGATGGGGCATGAGAGAAGAGTGAATCTTACTAGTTTTCATTAGGTTACAAGGTGTTTTATGCTTTATTTATTTATGACTTATTTTATGTGGACTAACACAAAGGTTTGGTTTTGGAACGGTTTTTGAATAAGGGCCTTTAATGGTTCCAAGTTGTAGTTTGATTTTATTTGACTTTATTTGTTTGGTTTTAAACTTTATTTTCGTTTGGTTGACTTTTGAGTTGACTTGCTTAATCGGTTTTTAATTTTGAGTCTTCCGCTGTGTATATTTGATAATTGCCTTAGCCGTTTTCACGGTGGCGGTAATGTCTTAGTTATTCCTAAATCGTGTTTTTAAAAGAGTAGAATGGGTATTTACAAGAAAGGAATTTCTAGGGTGTTACACTATCACACCATTCATGAACAAGCATCAGAGTGGAAGTAGGTGAATAAACTGCAGAGCGAAACCTAAAATTATTCCGAGTCAACCAGATAGCCCAACAAACTGCAAAAATACGATCCAAATCCAACCAATTCTTGGCCGCAGCCAAACTGGAAAGATTCCCATGCTACCGAACCCCACAACATACGGGCAAAGGAGCAATCCCACCACAAATGTTCCAATGTTTCCGAAGAATTATGACAAAAAACACAAGTAGCAGAAATTGGGATCCCCTTACAAACTAGAAGTGCCGCTGTAGGAAGGGCATTATGTAATATTTTCCAGGCCAACATCTTCCATTTTGGCAGAATAGGTAAACCCCATAGCCGTTTCCACCAAGGGGAATCTATGGCCTCTGAAGAAGAGGGAAAATAGTGAAACAGTAAATTAGAATACGCAGATTTGGTGGAGAAAGATCCATCGCGAGTATATTTCCAATATACAGAATCATCAATCTGCTGAGAAGGCCTTTCCAAGGCAAGAATCGCTGAAGCAACCAACGGAGGAAATAAATGTCTTATTAAATTAGCATTTCAAGCCCCCGAATTAGGAGAAATCAGCTCAGACACCAACAAAGGTCGTTCCCTCGGAGGAACGCAATCCTTTTGGTAAAGAGTATTAAATCGTTTCACTATGGAGACTCCTCTGTTTTTAACTAAGTGTTCTACTTTGACCAATTCACTTGTTAATGCAAAACTTTGACTATAATATTTTTAATTATTAATAAGAAAAATTGTCCAAAACTATCCACTAAATAAGTTATTTTGTCAATAACTACCAGCTTAAAATTTTTATACAAAAAATGTACCTAAACTTAAAAAATTTGAGGACTTTTAGCGAGTGGGGCCCGCTCATACTTTGTACTAAAAAACATCAGCCCAAAATGACAAATTTGCCCAAAGCTTCATTAACTTTGCCAACTATCTTTTCTTCCTTACGTCAACTCACTCTCTATTTCCTCGACTTTTCTTTCATTGGACCATAGGAAGAATCTTACTCATTCATCAACATTATCTTTCTCCCTCATTTCTTTTCCTTCAATCTCTTTCCTACGCAACAAACACATTCAATAAACCTCCTCCAATCTCGAATTAGTACTTGTCCATGGTGTCACCATTTTGTGAGGAATTCCACAGTATCATTTGCTTGAGCTAACTGAAAAAAAGAGTTTGACATGTTGCAATTGAAAAATTTCACACAATTAAGAAGCCATAAAGAATATTTTCGTAGCCCTAATTTATCTAATTATAATAAAAATCAACAAATTTCCCCAATTTGAAAAACCCCCTATTTCTATTTCGACAAAGAACTCTAATTTTGTAGTTATTAAGCCCTATTCATAATTAATAAAATAAAGAAGCGTTACATACTTGTGAATTCAAACGACAAATACATTCTCCTTCTTCAACCGGTGATTTTCTAAAATTTTGAGTCTTTTTGGTGGAATGTTTGCAAAAAGGATGAAGGAAAATTGGCTGATTTACCGAAATTTGTTGTTTAAAAAGGAAAAAGGGTAATATTACTCAAACTTTTTAAATTTAGTTGATAGTTTTTTTGATAAATTTTTTAAGCGAGTAGTTGTTAACAAAATGAACTATTCAGTGGGTAGTTTCTTATATTTTTTTTTTTTGAAAAGTTTCTGATAAATTTTCCTTATTAATAAGTATAAATTATAAAAGTTTAATTGAAAATTATTTATTGAGATAATTCTAATAAGTACTTAATTTAAATGTTTATATTTAATCTTATATACATCCTCAATTTTTTTTTAATTTTTTTTTTTTATTATTGCACCATATAAGTTGGCAAAATAATTTTGGTAGTGAGAAACAAGAAGAGATAGAAAGGTAAAAATACAATAGTGTCCATATGATGTTAAGATAAAGTAAAGAATAAGTGTGAAGAAGTAAGGGTATGTTGGATATTTGCAATATAAATAGAATTTTTTTTTTTCCTAAAATAAAAATAGTGCAATATTTGTAAAACTTCATTGAAAGGCAAGTGGTGCTTAAAAAATAAAGAACATAGGAAGTAGTATAAAAGAAGAAAAATCAAATAGGGATAGAGTAGGTCATGAACATCTCCTTGATTTTGTATAAAATGTTATTTTCGTATATATATAAACAATTTTTATTAGATATATTAGTTGACTTTATTTTTATAGAAATGCAATACCAGTTTGTGACAAGGGTCTTCTGGTTGGACTCATATACTCGTATATTTTTGTAAATTATTCATTCTTATTGTGTTTTGCTATATGTCTCTAGTTAATAAATTTTAACATGGTTTTTAAACTTGTATATTATTTTTTATAAAAACTTTATGTGATATATATATATATATATATATATATATATATATATATATATATATATATATAATCTAAACCCCCTTAGTTTTAAAATTCAGATTCCGCTACTAAGTATAAAACACAAAAATAGTTAAAGTCATGCATGTGAATTGTCAAACTTAAATTGGGGCACTTAAATAAAATAGAGAGAATACTCCAAAAATAGAGTAGCCAAAATTTGAATGTTTCTTAACCATTTGAAAAAAAAGAAAAAAAAAAAAGAAAAATTAAATGTGTAGACACCCATTTGTGTCTCCCCAAAACCAAACCCAGTGATGAATCCTTTCATGTCGAACCATAATCGAATGAGGTGAAAGTGTGAAAAGTCTAGTGTTGCGGTTAGTTTTTGTTAAAATTCTTTCTTTCTGTTTTCGAAAACCCACTCTATTTTATGAAAACGTCCATTCCAGTTTAGTTTGGTCCATGATAAGGGTCCAATAATGGTGTAGTTGGATGGGGCTTGCAAAGACCTTTCCAACGATATATTATAAGCCCAATTCCGATGAATAATGAGGAAGTTATGGCCAAAATACTAAACTGGGCCCAAACCGGATTTTGCCTACGACCCAATGATCATGAGGAGGGTCCAAAGGTTTAATCTTATTCCTAAACTAATTAGGATTGATTAGAATCTTCTATAAGTTTCTAAAATATCTTAATTATCCTTTTTTGAAAAGATAAGATTAAGGAATTTGATTTAAATATAAACTTTCCTTTTTTTTATAAAACTTTCCTTTTTTAAAGTCCTAATTCTATTCGGATTTAAACATGTTCAAAGACAGTCAGATATTATTTTTGTGCCTCATATTTTTTATCCAAATTTTATATGGTTGGATAGATCTTGAAATTATCTTTCCAATGATATATTATAATAATAATTCCGAGCAATAACGGAAAATATATGAATAAGATATCAAACTCTATCCAAAACTGACACCGTCTCACTATTTCGTTTATATCTTTTATTCTACAACATATTTTAATCTGATTCTAATTGGGTTAGAAAGTAGACTTCAAGATCTTTCCAACAACATCTTATTCATCTTATTCCGATTCTTG